GCTCCTGGCCTCGCCCCCGCCCTTGCTCCTGGTCCCGCCCCTGCACTTGCTCCTGGCCCCGCCTCCGCACTGGCTCCTGGCCCCGCCCCCGCTCTTGCTTCTGGCCCCGCCCCTGCTCTTGCTCCTGGTTCCGCTTCTGCTCCAGATTTCGCCCTTGACCCAGATGCTGCACCTGCTCCTATTCTGGATCCCACCTCTATTTTTACTCCAGGTCCCTCCTCTACTCTTGCTCCTGGACACGCCCCTGCTCCTAGTTTCACCCCGCCTCCTCGCCTCACCCCTTAACCTTGCCCCATACTTGTTCTCTGCTCCGCCTCTGCTCTGCATCCCGCCCCTACTCTTCATCGGGTCTCGGTTTCTGTTTCTGGCTTTGGCTGTGCCGCATCTATTTTCCCCAGTCCTGCTACTCTCTCTGGTCGTGCACTTGCACTTGCACCTGCACCTGGCTCCGCCCCCACCTCTTGCCCCGTCCCCCCACTTCTCTTCGCATCTCCCCTTTCTCCTGACCCGGGCCCTACCCTGGTACCGGGTCCTGTATCTAGCCTCTCCCTTCTCGGGTTCCTGGGCCCAGACTTTCTCCACGCCCCGCCCCTTTCCCTGTCCCCGCCCCTGTTTCTCTCCTGGAGCTTGCTCCTGGGTCGGCTTCCCTTCCTTGCCCCGCCCCCGTTCCTGTAGCTGTCCCTGTTCTTCGACCCGCCCCTTATCGATTCGCCTTTTCCCCCGGTCTTTGGAGAGCGGTTCTTCTTGAGCCTGCCCCTCACCCCGCCCCCTCGTAGAACCACGCCCATTCTCCTTAGATACCCTCTCTCTGCCTCGGGATCTCTCCTCGCCACTGGCCTTCCCCTCGCTCCGCGCCTTCTCCTCTCCCTGCCCCTTTTTCTCGTTCCACGCGGGCGCTATCTTGTCGGTCAGCGTCTTCTCGGTCCTCACCTTTCCCCCGAACCGCGACACCTTTTGGTCCCACTCTCCCTTTCCACCCTTTTCCATACCCCGGACAGCTACCGGCTCCACGTCCCGCCTCTTATAGCCCCGCCCCTACTCATCTCCTCGTGGCTTCTCTTAGCCTCTACTTGCTCGTCGCCCCGCCCTTTCTCCACCCCTCCCCTCCTTTGCTCGGTCCCTCCACTCCCCTCCCTCTCTTCTGCTTCTCCCCTTCTCGCCTCCCCCTCCTCCTTCCCCTTCTCTCCGCCCCCCGCCCCCCGCATCCCTCCCTGGGTGGCCCCAGGCACCTCCCTCTTCTCCCCCGCCCCGCGGTACCAGTCACTTAGTTGAAACCGGTCAACCGTCGCTTGGCCGCTCCAGTCCCGCCCCTCTTGCCCGGTTTCAAAATGGCCGCCCACACTTCCACAACCGATTTCCGCCTTTCCCGAGACCCGTCCGCCCCGCGCGCCTGTCTCCACGGTAACGCTCGTCCCAGACGGCGCCTGCGACCTGGCGGCGTGGTGAAAGCGGTGCTCGACACTCTGGCGCCCGGGGCCTGGCGGGCTGAGGGTGCTGGAGACAAGAGTTTGTGATTGGAGGGTCTTCAGGGAGTTCCTACCGGTTGTTCTGGAAGCCCTCACTCGTCCTCTGCCGCATTAGGCTTTTATATCTAAAAAAATCTCTAAAAAACGTTTGGTTTCCTTGTGGGAATTAATCTGACTGCGGCTTAACACCCTGCTCTACACAACAGGGGCACAAGCAACCATCTCATAGAGTTGTGGGGAGCCGATAAGATAACACGTGAAGAATGCCTGGCGGAAATACTCAATAGAGTAATAATTTTCATTTGTATTCTGATGCCTCACAGTTAAGGATTCAGACCATGGCTTTTCGATGCACTGCAAAGCCGACTTTAGCCTAAATCCATGATTTTCATACTTTAGCGTGCATTAGACTCACCGGAAGAGCTTGTTAAACACGTTGTCGGGCTCCACCGCCCAGAGTTTGATTCAGTAGCTCTGAGGTGGGGCTGGAGAAGTTGTATTTCTTTTTTTTTTTTTTTTTTATTTATTTATTTGAGAGAGAGAGAGAATGAGAGAAAGCACGAGAGGGAAGAGGGTCAGCGGGTCAGAGGGAGAAGCAGACTCCCTGCTGAGCAGGAAGCCCGATGTGGGACTCGATCCCGGGACTCCAGGATCATGACCTGAGCCGAAGGCAGTCGCTTAACCAACTGAGCCACCCAGGCACCCGAGAAGTTGTATTTCTGGCAAGTTTTCAGGTGATGCGGATACTGATGGTCTCGGGACCACACCTGGAGAACCAGTGCGCTAAAACAAGCCCTCTGTGTAGCCCCCAGGACCTCAGGGAAATATCCAGCTGGTTCCCAGAGTCCTGCCTAATCTCATCCGGGTGCCATTCCTATCCAGCTCATCTCCTTTCTCCCTATAGACCTGTGTAGTCTACAGCCCAGTCTCACGGAGGGACTTGAATACCCTTGATCAGGATTGTTCCCTCTCTCCTCCACACTGTGTCCATGTAGTAACACCCTTTGGAACACTACTCCCTACTTTGTCACTGACTGACCACTTTCCTTACCTGGGGTCTTGTCTGTAAGATATGACCAGTCCCATCCCTCCTCTGAACACACTAGACTGTGACTGCTTCCCACTGAATCACAGGCTCCATGAGGGCAAGGCCTAGAGCTTTCTCCATCACTGTTCCCAACTCTGTCCAACACAGCACAGAGTAGATATTCTATGTAAATGAGTTTTTGGAAGTCTATGCCCCCCGCCCCCCTCCCAGCCCGGTCCAGCCCCACAGGCCATGGAGGGGTGACCTCATATGAGGGAAGAAACTCACCAGCTATGTACCTGAGCCCTTCTAGACTCAAGAACAGAGTCAGAGAGACTTCGGTGTCCTCATGGCAGCCCCCCCAGGAATTCAGCCCTACGGGGATGGGGGGGCAGGGGGTTCCTCGGTTAGATCTTGATGTTCAAGGCACACCTTGCAGCAGCATTTACGCCAGCAAAAGACTGGCAACCACCCACGTGCCCATTAGTGAGACGCTGAAATAATTTATGGGATGTGTGTCCTACCAGAGGCATGGCAGGCATAAAAATGATATGAGACCTACTTGTGTGTCTCTGGAATGATCTCCTAATTTTACCGGGTGGTGATAAAAGCAAGGTGCAGAAATGAGAATAGTACTAGAAAAAGTATATAAAAATTGTATATCCAGGGGCGCCTGGGTGGCTCAGTCAGTCAAGCATCTGTCTTTGGCTCAGATCATGATCCCAGGGTCCTGGGATCGAGCCCCACGTTGGGCTCCCTGCTCAGCTGGGAGTCTGCTTCTCCGTCTCCCTCTGACCCTCCCCCAGGTCATGCTCCCACACTCTCTCTCCCTCAAATGAATAAATTAAAAAATCTTTTTAAAAAGTTGCATATCTTCATATATCTTATATAATATTAAAAAGCAAGGTACAGAAATAATCATCAGTCAACAATTTATTGAGTACCAGACATTGGTCTAAGAGTTTTACAGATGTTAAGTTGCTAAATTCTCGAACAAGTCCATGAGGTAGGTGCCGTAATCAACCCATTTTACAGATTAGCAAACTCAGGCACAGGGAGGTGAAGTCACTTGCCCAAAGCCACAGAGCTTGGGAGTGACAGAGTTCAGACTTATACCCAGGGACTTGGCCTCTAGTGTCTGTGATTGTAACCACCTTGCCATACTTGATAGCACTCGAGCAGAGTGAAGGAAAAAATAAATGACACAAATATGCACACACATATTGCTGATATTTGCCTGGAAGACCTGAGAAATCACTCACAGCCTGAGCGCTGGACTTTCCACTGTACACTCTTCTGTACCTTTTGAATTTTTAGCCTTCACTCCCTGCCCCCACCACCATGAATTAAACAGGGCTTGGTTTCTTTTTCCGGAAGAATCTGGAATGAGCAGTGAGGAGCAGAAGCCAGATCACACAGGCACCTCCTGCAAGGTGAGGAGCGACCGTCTCTCCCAGCCAGCAAGGTTGACCATGAGGAGCCAGGAAGGCTGGGAGGCTAACAAAGAGCTAGACAGCAGTTTCTGAGCTTCTGTGGGACAAGGTGACCAAACAAAACTTTGCTCAGATCTCAGATCTCAGTTCTGCACCTCCTCTGTGACCTTGGGCAAGTTATTTAACCTCTCTGGGCCTTTCCTCAACTGTAAACTATAGAAAAGGTACTTAATAGAGTTGCTGAGAGGGTTAAATAAATTACATATCGAGAGCTTGGAACAGTGTCTGGCACATAGTAAATCCTATGTAAGTGTTTTCTTATCACTGTTATTACAACAATCTTGTGTGACTTTTTAGCATGATTTGACAATGGTGAATTCTCCTTAAAATTCTCTCATCTCTTATTGATTCTCCCTACCCTCTTGGTTTTCCTACTCCTCTATGGAACTCCTTTTCTGTCTCCTTTGTAAGCTCTTCTCTCTGGTATGAGGACACCGGTTGAAAGGTCACTGCTTGCCATATGGAGCCTTTATGTTAACGAGAAAAAGAAGCCCCTTTGGGTCATTTTCAGCCTTGAACTTCAGCCCTTGTTTGTTTCCACCCTGCCGGCCAGACATCCCCTATGTAGTTCCTGACCTGCAACAACTACATGATGACCCTAACTGCTTAGCTAATCAATGTCTGTCCATTCTCCCTCTCCTGACTTTCTAATAGAAGTCCGGTTTTGTTCACACATTCACCAGCCTCCAAACCAAAATCTGTCTCAGCCTCAATTCCAGGTGGCAGGGGGAATTCTGAGGAATCCAAGTTAATCATGATGGCTCCATCACTCTGGCCAAGGATTGGTTCAGGATGGACATGTGAGCCAATTTTGCCCAATGAGATGGAGGAGGAAGGAAGGGGAAAGATTTCCTTGCCTCCAAAGAGACAATATGGGAAGAGATGCCCCCCTCCTTCTTGCACTAAAAATGATCATGTCTGGTTGTGATGCCCGGTCCTGTGGCAGTCACTTTGGGGCCATGAGGAGAGCCCATGTGGAGCCAAGCCCTCAGCTGAAGGTGGCAGAATAAAGAGATTGGGGACCTCAGGCCACAAGACCCTCCTGGAGCTGTGGATTGTCTCTTGCCCAGAGCTCTCCCCAACTCGGGTGACGGGCAATATACAATCACATTGTTTCAGCCAGCGCCACTCAGGATCTTGTTACTTGCAGCCCAAATCTTTCCTTATTATTTTTTTAATGTTTCAAGTTTTTATTTAAATTTTTATTTAAATTTTAGTCAGTTAACATATAGTGTAATATTAGTTTCAGGAGTAGAATTTAGTGATTCATTGCTTCCATATAACACCCAGTGCTCATCACAAGTGTTTCCTTACTATATAGATATATAAATACCCTAAAGCTGACTTCTCAACAATGAATCATGGAACACTACATCAAAAACTAATGATGTAATGTATGGTGATTAACAGAACATAACATAATAAAATTAAATTAAAAAAAAAAAAGCTGACTTCTCAAGGCTGGTGTTCTCTCTTCCTCCAACCCAGGGCAGCCAACCATCCTTGTGCCTTTCCCCAGCCTTCCCTCTCCCAAGAGTGTAAGGCCTACACAGGGCCTGTCCACTTGGCCTCCTGAGCATGACCTCCACTGTCCCTCTTCCGTTCCCTCGGCCCTGCCCAGCCCCATCATCTCCTGTTCTTTTCCTACACCAGCCTCCCCTGTGCACCCAGCCTCAGTCTCCCCCTCTGGTCTACCTCCACACAGCAGCTAAAGCCCAAACCTGACCACAGCCGTCTCCTGCTCAAAATCCTTCCATGGCTCTCTGGTGCCTTCAAGAAAGAGGCCAAGTTCCCCAACTGGTCATTTAAGGACACTTAAGATGCACCCATGTCCACCGCTCCACCTTCCTTCCCCCCTTCACCCCATATTCCAATCACAATAAACCACTTGCCAGAAGCTGACATCGACAGGCTTTCCTACCTCCAGGCACACACAGTTCCTTCTGCCTGGAGTGCCTCCTGCGCCCTTTCTTCCTCAGTGTTATCAAGGTCTGCCTCAAATGCCCCATCCCTTCTGTAACTTCCATAGGGCCCGTGGCAGCAAGCGCTATTTCTGACGTACCATCTGGGGAGGAGGCAAATCTGGGGGGGCAGTAAGCAGAAAACCAGTCACCTCCTAGCTCTGTGTCTGAGACCTCGTGCCTCAGTTTCCTCATCTGTGAAAAAGGGTGAGGATGTTATCCTCCTTTTATGTAAACTACCCAGAACAGGACCTGGCCCTGGCCAAAGAAAGCATCGCAGAATAACATGGCCGGCTCTGTGACATCATCTTTGAAGTAACTACTGTTATTATGGCCATTTTACAGATGACGAAACTCAGAGTCACAGAGGTGAAGTGACTGCCCGAGGACAGAGGCAGGACGCGGCTGAGCTGGGATCTAAGCCCAAGCAGGCTGGTTCCAGAGTCCTGCGTACCTTATGCAATTAGTCCTCGGGAAATGGGGACAGCTGTTACGACGGTGTCCCGGCTCGGGGCAGGGCCATCCGTGCCATCCGGATCCAGGCTGGGTCCTGTCTCAGCTTCCTGCCTGCCAGGCTGCTACAGAGGGTTCTGTCCCACAGGCCTATGCCCCGGGCTCTCCATGCGGATCTCGCTCCCTAGAGACACTTGAGAAAAACAAGTCAGGTCCACCTTCTTCCCCTGAGTTGTTACCCCTTCTTCCAGGAAGCCCTCCCTGACCTTGCAGGCTGGACTGGGCACAGTCCTGCACCTGTGGCCCCCCCACCTCAGCCCTGCCCCCTCTGCCTGAGCTTTCTCGAACACACCACTGACCTCTCTGCCTCCTCCCCTAAAGTGCTATCTGTCCTGGGCTGCTGCTGTGTGGGGACAGCTCTGTCCTCCTCGCTGGACCGGGAACCCACGAGAGCCGGGCCCAGGGCCACCTCAACCACCACTGTGTCCCTTGCGCTGCCCAGCCTGAGGCCGGCACAAGGAGGGGGGTCTGGATGAGTGAGTACATTCTTTCCATTTGACAGATGAGGAGATCAAAGCCCAGCCAGGGGCAGCCACTTGCCCAAAGTATAGGGACCCATTTCCGGCTGCCGGAGATGAGCTCTGAGCCCAGAGCCTGCTAGAATGGGCGGGTGGAGAGGCTGAGGGAAAGGCAGATGGAGTCAGTAAAAGAATGAGACGCAGAGAGAGAGGGAAAGCCAGAGAGCCCAGAGTGGGGAGAGTGAGAGAAGAGGCATGGGGGGGAAGAGCAGGGCAGTGGCACGGCCTGGGACAGGCACAACAAAGGACGGACAGCTGGTGGCAATGCCTCGCGAACCCCGCAAACACGGGCCTGTGCTCGAGGACGGCCCAGGATCGCAGCTCCAGTCACGGGGGCCCCTCAGAGGCAGGCCAGCTCCCGCCGGCCTCGGGGCACCCGCCCCAGCTACCTGGGGATGGAGGCGTAGTCAGGGTGGGAGTCGGCGGCCAGCTGCTGGTGCGGTTCTGGCTGGGGGCCCACAATGTCCACCCGATCATCGTCAGCCTCGCTGAAGCTGGTAGGACACGGACTGGGCAACAGGATGAGCTCCGTGAGGCCGTGAAGGTCAGACACGCGGCGGAAACTCTGCAGCACGAGCATCATGACGACCAGGCCCAGGAAGAGGTAGGCTGCGGAGGACAGTGGAGGGGCGATGGGTGGGCTCGGACACACACACACCCCGAGACCCTCCAGGGTAAGGCTGTGCCCGCCCCGCCGTTGGTCCCCGGCCGGCCACCACCCCGCTCACCTGTGACCAGCACCTTGTAGAGGGCCCGGTAGGGCTGGCCGGGGGCCTCTCCGGGCACATAGTCCCCCAGGCCGATGGTGGACAGGGAGATGAAGCAGAAGTAGAAGGCATCCAGGAAGCTCCAGGCCTCCTCCAGGTGGGCAAAGACAGCAGCCGGCACCAGGAAGCAGACGGTCACAACGCCGCCCAGCAGGGCCACCAGGTGCCAGCGAGCCGCCCGCCGTAGGTCCCAGCCCCAGCGCGAGGTCAGCCAGGAGAGGGGAGCGTGGGTCAGCAGCAGCGACAGGCGCTGGGCCGCGGAGGTCAGCAGCAGCATGGTGGCCGGCACGCCCAGGAGCGCAAAGGCGATGGAAAAGGCCTTGCCTGCATCGGTCAGCGGCGTTGTGTACCCGTAGCCTGCAGGAGCAAGGGGAGGTCCTGCCGCGGCCGCCTGGCACCTCCCCTGGGGCGCGGCGGGGGGGGGCGTCTGTGGCCACCCTAAACGACACTTAATTTCACCCTAGAACTTGCCTGTCATCTCCAGGGATGACACCTCCGTCCCTCCACAGCGCAGGCCGCGAGCCTTGTCATCCGTGACTCTCCCGCCCACGTTCCACCTGCCAGTGAATCCTGCCGGCTCGAAGTTCATGTAGCTCCTAAAGCCGCTCCCTTCACCCCACCCCAGCCCCATGGCCCCACCCCGGGGCCTATCTAACGCAGGAGCCTCCTCCCTCACCGGTCTCCCTTCTCCCCCACCCTGCCTCCCCGCCTCACCCCTGCACACAGCCAGAGCGACCCTACGGACACCTGAGTAAGGTCATGATCCTCCCACAGTTAGAGCCCCTCTGTGGCTCCAACCCATTCAAAGTCCTCATCATGACCCACAAGGCCCTGCGCGATCCGACAGGGCAGCGTGCTCCCACCTCAGGGCCTTTGCACGGACGGTTCCTTCCCTCCTGGAAAGCTCTCCCCCCAGGGCTGGTTCCCTGCCCAAATGTCAGGTGTTCAGTGGGGACTTCCCTCACTCCCTTATTAAATTGTTACACCCTCTGACCAAACTGTCTTTTTTTTTTTTTTTTTTTGGTTTGTTTTCATAGCACTTCAACCTTCTGGTAAACCATGTGGTTTACTTATTTGGTTGGTGTCCCTCTCCTGACTAGGGTGCAGCTGCAGGGTGGGAGAGGCTTCTGTCTGTTTGGGTCACTGCCGTAGCCCCGGCATCTGGCCCAGAGTGGGCACTTGATCGATAGTCAAAATAATGAATGAAGGGTGCTGGCTCTCCACTTAGCTCAGAGCCTCCGTGTCCCTTTCTCTAAAATGGGTGTGACAAGCCCCACTGGGCTCCTGGTGGACTGCAGGAACACACGGAAGGTCGGTGTGGGTGTGGGCACTGCAAACAGAATGAGAATAAAGGGGAGTTCAGGTGTTGGGGACACTGGCCTGTTTTGGCAATGTGTAATTTAAAATCTCTCTCCTTTTTTTTCCCCACAAATAAATTAAACCAAAGGATCAGAGATATAAGTGGGGTGGTAAGGGCCCCGGTTTATGTTGACAGTAAAATGTCGTGCCAAAATGACCACGGGTTCAGCCCTGTGATCAATAAGAAAATGTAGAAACTGCACACACGAGCAGGCATTCACCTGTGAGGGTCTTAAAAGAACCAGAAGCCAGGGCTTGAAGAGATACCCACGCTCATGGCAGCATTGTTCACAACAGGCAAAAGATGGAAGCCACCCAAGTGTCCATCAGCAGAAGACTGGTAAACCGAAGGCAGGGTATACATATAATGGGATATTATTTAGCCGGCAAAAGCAAATTCTGACACATGCTACAGCACGCATGAATCCTGAGGGCATTATGCTGAGCGAAACAAGCTAGTCACAAAAAGACAAATATTGCATGATTCCACGCGTCTGAGGTACTTAGAGTAGGCAAGTTCATAGAAATAGAAACAGGAAGTAGAAAAGTAGAATGGTGGTTATCAGGGGCTGCGTGCGGAGAGTGGGGAATGGGGAGATACTGTTTGATGGTTATAGTTTCAGTTTTTTCTTTCTCGCTCTCTTTTTTTAGAGAGAGAGTGCGCACATGACTGGGGGGAGGAGGGGCAGAGGGAGAGAGAAAATCCCAAGCAGACTCCAAGCCCAGTGGAGCCAGACATAGGGCTCGACCTCATGACCCTGAGATCATGACCTGAGCCAAAATCAAGAGTCTGATGCTTAACCGACTGAACCACCCAGATGCCCCATTTTTTTTCTTTATTTAAGGAAGCTCTATGCCCAACGTGGAGCTTGAACTCACAACCCTGAGAGAAAGAATCGCACGCTTCACCGAATGAGCCAGGCACCCCGATAGCTTCAGTTTTGAAAGATGAAAAGAGTTCTGGAGATGGATGGTGGTGATGGTTGTATAACAGTATGAATGTACTTAATACCACTAAACTGTACACACAAAAATGGTTAAGATGGTAAATTTTGTTCTGTATAGGTTACCACAATTTTTAAAAAATTGGGGTAAAAAAGAATCCTCTGGGTTTTGCTGGATACCTAGAATAAAGATAGTCCCTCCTCCCTTGCAGCTAGGCATGACTCTGGAATAATTTCTGGTCAGTGAGTTATACATGATAGAATCAAGCAACTTCTAGAAATTTTCCTTAAAAAGAGGAGGATGCCAGGGTGCCTGGGTGGCTCAGTTGGTTGGGCATCTGCCTTCAGCTCAGATCATGATCTCGGAGTCCTGGGATTGAGCACCGCATAGAGCCCCAAGTTGGGCTCCCTGCTCAGCGGGGAGTCTGCTTCTCTCTCTCTCTCCCTCTGCCCCTCTCCCCCCCGCTCATTCTCTCTCTCTCTCGAGTAAATGAAATCTAAAAAAAAAAAAAAAAGATGGGGAATCTATCCCCTTTCTTTCCTCCCTCCTCCTGCTGGCTGGAACACAAACATGAAGGCTGGACTTGAGCAGCCACCTTGGACCATGAGGTGACCTTGTGAATGGAAATTGCACAGAGGAGCACAAGGGTCTCTGACCATGCAGCACCATTCTGGTCTTGCTCTTGAATGTGAGCAAGAAATAAACTTTCACCAATTTAAGCAACTCTTCTGTGAGCTTTATCACTTATGGCTCCAGCCCTCATTAATCACAAGGATTTGGATGGAGAAACTCCAGCAGCCCAGCTGAAATTACAGGTTTGCAAACGACACGAAAACCTTATAAATGGAAAACCACAGAGTTTGCATAGAACAGAGGCTGTGAGCCTTCACTGACTACCTGTAAGAGCTCAGTCCCAGTCAGGGCTTTGCCATGGATTCCCTGCATGACCTTGGCTGCGTGCCTTCTTCCTCTCTGAGCCTCAGTTTGCCCCGAGTGCCGACAACTGGGCTCATGAAAACCCCTTCCTCAAGTACGACTGCAGTAACCCTCCCTGGTTGGGACAGGGTATAGCACCGAGCAAGGGCATGGAAAGAGTTAGTGTGACTGTAATGCTCACTTCCCCTCTCCGGGTTCCCGGTTCCGGGTGGGCCAACCCCTCCACCAAGGCCTCATCTGCAGCACGGCTCCCGGGATGGAGTCTGGGCCCCAGGTCTTCCTCAGAAGACGTGGGCCTATGACAAAACCAGGGACGCTGTGGGAGAGGTCTCTCCGAATCACGTCTGGGTTTCTGCTTCTCCCGATACACTCAGGGCTCCCAGCTTCACCAACAATAATGACAATCCAGTCTCCGTAAACCTGTTATTACCAGCACTTTCCACTGACAAGGACTGCCTCCTCGACCAAACGTCAGTTGGGTTCCTCTGCGCTCTTGTCTTGACCAGGCCCAGTTTTAGCAGGGATCCTAAGCCACTACGGTAAGAATCCCCCTCCCCTTGGTGTCACCTCTTAGTCATCCTTCTACCCACTGACCCCTCACGCCACCCTCGGCTCTAAATCTCCAGCTGCCTTCGCTATATTCGGAGTTGAGGTCGGTCTCTCTCCCCTACTGCAAGAACTTACCATTTTTAACAAGCGTCAGAATAAACTTTTCTTCCACACTACACATGCGTATCACCCTTCTTTGTGCAAGCCTAGCATGGGGTACTGGTTAAAAGCACGGTACTCTGAGGCCTCTACACCTCCCTAGCTGTGTGGTCTTGGGCAAATGGTCCAACCTCTCTGGGCTTCGGTGTCTGTTGCTGAAAAAACAGGGCCGTGAATGGCACCTGCCTTGAAAGGCCAGTGTGCTGACCGAGTTAAAGGCCGTACGCACTAATTCCTGTACAGGTTTCATTGTTATTGTGATGTGGGGACTGTTACGATCTCCATTTCCAGAAGAGGGAGGACCCCGAGGCCCAGAGGAGTAGCAGCTGAGCAGAAAGCCAAACCCAGGATGTGCCTGCCTTGAGTTTGGCTTCTGCACCTGTCCTGGCTGGGATGACTTCTCAGAAGCCAGGATCTGGAAGGAGGCAGAGGGAGACACTGACGTGACCCAGTGAAGCCCAGGAGCAGGTCGGGCAGGCCCGGCCAGTTGGGTAGAACAGAGTCTGCCGAGAAGCATCCAGCTCCCTGCTGCCTGTCCACACAATGGGGCACCGAAAGCTCGGTGGCCACCTGCTACTTCTGGCAGGAGGGGGAGTTAAGAGTCGGGGCCGGTCCCAGCCTCCTCCCCCAGTCCAAATCCCCAGTAGAGGTGAAGAGGAAGTTTGGGGGCTTGGGAAGGGCAGTGGGAGGACCAGCAGAACATGATGACAAAGGAATTTTTCCAGGTCTGGGCGCTGAAGCAGGAAGGGACTTTCAGGGTTGGGCTGGGGGGAGGGGTCAGTTCCACTTGGTGGAGGGGGTTGTTCAGAGAAGGGGAGTCAGTAATCTGAAATCGGAGGCCAGTGTCCTGGTTCGAAATGGATCCTGGTTTGGGGCTGAGGTCCTGAGTCCCGAGGAAGGAGGAGACAGGCATGGGTGGGGGCATCTTGTGGATCATGAATGGGATTGGGAGGGGAATCCTCAGGCAAGGGGGCTTCTGAGCCCGCGGATGCTTGAGGGGACGTGATGGGGGTAGATAATGCTAAAGGGATGATGGGAGGGGGCGGGTGTCCCCGGTCCTAGCTGAGAGTGTGAAGGGTGGAAAGCGGTCATGAGTGGGTACTGGGAAGGGTTCCAGGGTGCTGAGGGTCTGGAGTGTCCTTGACAGAGGGGAGAATTTCGGGTCCAAAGCCAAGGGGAGTAGTGTTGGGGTGGAGATGGAGGTCCCACTTGTGGCTCTGGAGAAGATAGGAGGGGTGTCAGGCCCCAGGAGATTCCCACTCGTAGGAAATCCAGGGTGGGCAGGGGGTCTCAGGACAGGGGTAGCGGGTGCAGAGAGCAGAGTCTCTGGGCTGGCATCCTGTAGGGTGGGGGGTGTGAAGCGGGATTCTGCTCTCAACGACAGTGTGTGTGCGGAGGGCGCTGGGGTCCCTTCTAATAGAAGGTCCAGGTGGTTCTGGGGCTCCTACTGAGGGGTGCCAGGGTCCAGAGAGTGGTGAGAGTCCCATCTAGGGGTTCTTGGGTTCAAAGAGGCCTCCATGGAGAAGTCCCTGGTTTGGAACGTGCTAGAAGTTTTGCTGGAGCTGGTTCTGGGACTGGAGAGGTGGAAGTCCCGGCTGAGGGGCTTCTGGTGGAAAAGTCAGTGGTCCTTCCTGGAGGGTGCTCTAGCTGCCTCCACGGTGGGTCCCTCTCACACATCCACCGTTGGGAGCTGCTGACTTGGAAGCCCCAGGTTCAGAGGGAATGGGGGTGGTCCTATTGGGAGGAACCCCCTGTCTTGAAGGCTCTCATTACAGGGGAGATGTCAAGATGGAGGGGTTCTGTGTCTGCAGTCAGGGCTACGTGCTGGGGAGTACGGGGCTACCTGCTCCGGAATATGAGGATGAAGGGTGGTCCTTGGTTGGTCCTTCGTCTGGAGGAGGGTGGGGGGCCCTTGCTGGGCAGTGGTCTAGGTCCAGAGGGGTGGAAGTCACCCATCGGGGCCCCAGGTCCTTGCTGAGGGATCTGTACTGGCAGTAAAGTCTTTAGTGATGGTGCCCTGAGAGGGTGTGGAGATTCAGTGTCCTCACTGGGGCACCAGGGTCAGGAGGAGGCGGGGGTAGGACTTCCCAAGGGGCATCCCCGCAGGACATATCTGGAGACTCAGGAGACCTTCTGGAGGGAATGGCGGTCTCAGCCCAGAGAGAAGGGCAGAGGTCCCTGCCTGCCTGAGGTCCGGGTCCAGAGGGGGGCGAGGGTCTCCGGAGGGGGGTCCCAGGTCTTCGCGGGAGGTCTCTGAAAGTAGTCTAAGGCCCCGAGGGGACTGGACGGGCACAGGTCTCCAAGGGGGTTCAGGCAGAGGAATGGGGTCCCAAACGCTCCCTGGAAGGTACTCTGAGGGCAGCCCGAGTCCCGGAGGGAACCGGGTTGGGGCATTCCTGCTGGGAGGAAGGGCTTGGATGGGGGGCTCCCCAAAGTGGGGCCGGTACTCGTTGGGGGTTTTCCAGCAGATCCTAGTCCCAGAGCGGACTGGGGGCGGTCCGCCGGGATAAGAGTGTTTCGCGATGACTCCGGGGTCCCCAGGTGGGGCGGCGCTCACGTACCCACGGTGGTGACCAGCGTGCTGGCGAAGAAGAGCGCCGAGGCAAAGTCCCAGGCGGGGTCCGAGGCGTTGGCTGGCCCCGAAGCGTTGGCGAGCGCGGCGCGCCCCAGCCGTCCGGCCGCCAGCACCCGCTCCACGAAGGCGTCCAGGGCGGGGGCGGCCACGCACGGGCTGCGCCGCAGCAGCTCCTCGCGCAGCGTCTCCAGCTCGGCCCGGAGGCGAGCTTCGTGCGGCCGCTCCAGCCGCGCCACCAGCAGCGCGCCCAGCACCAGGTAGACGGCGTACGTGGCCAGGGCGCCCGCCAGGAGTGCGCCCGGCCGCATGGCGCCCGCCGCGACCCGCTCTCCACCGCCCCCGCCGCCCCGCTGACGTGGCCCCCGCCTCCCGGCCGCCCGGAGCCCAGCCTCAGTTCCGGCGGTGCTCGAGGTGCTGCTGCCAGCGCCCCGAAGAGGAAGAGGGAAAGGGGGAGGGGCGGGGAGGGGGCGAACGCCCCGCCTCCGGTAAACTGAGGCACACCCCCGCGCCAGGTATTGAGTGCGGGGAGGGCGGAGCCCCGCGGTCACGGACCCGGGACACCAAAGAGGATGGAAGGGGTGGGGAGTTGCTCCATTCCTTCCATTCCTTCCCTCTGGTCCTCCCAGGAGTCTCGGCTCCCTATGTTAGAGAAAATCTGAACTCTTGTCCTCTGGCAGACCGAGAAGTCGCTCCCCAACTCCCCGGGGCCATCACGAAGATTGTGCACTGCATCGGGGCGCGTGGCGGGGGGGGGGGGGGGGGGGGGGGGGGGGGGGGGGGGGGGGGGGGGGGGGGGACAAGGGGACAAACTGAAATCCGGTCCTTGCTCCGTTCGCCCAGTCCTGCGTTCTGGAGTGGGGTTGCTCCCGCCCGGAGGGGACGCCTGTATAATTCACAAGGAGAGGGCGCCTTGGGTGGCTCAGTGGGTTGGGCGCGCAGGACTCTTGGGTTGCGCTCAAGTGATCTCGTGGGTTGTGGGATCCACCTGGGTTGGACTCCACTCAGCCGGAGTCGGCTTGAAGACTCTCTCCCCCCGCCCTTCCCCCTACTCACAGGCGCACACATTCTCTCTTTCTAAAATAAATACATCTTTAAAAAAAAATCATTCAGAGACTCTTAACTGTACAGAACAAAGTGAAGGTTGCTGGAGGGGAGGTGGGTGAAGGGATGGGGTAACTGGGTGATGGGTGTTAAGGAGGGCACTTGATGGAATGAGCACTGGGAATTACTAAGTTCTACCCCTAAATTAATAATACACTGTATGTTAACTAACTTGAATTTAAATAAAAATAGTAATGATAATAATTCACAACAAGGGACACCACAGAGTCAGGTGTCCTCTGTCCCTCACGGACAGAGTGGGGATCCTTAGCTCCAATGTCTGCTCAGTGCCTACTTTGTGTGTGGCCCTTTGGTGGGGACACAGCTGTGACCCCGACAGTTCTAGACCTAGCCCATGGGGGGCTCCCAGCACTTCAAGTTCTAGACCTTGGCCCCAGGAGGCGGTGGGGGGGATGCCCAGAGTGGCAGCCCAGAGGGTCAGGGGTGAGATGAGGGAAGCACAGACAGAGTGACTGGAGCTGGGATGGGGGACACCAAAAGGACTGTGGATGGAGCCCCCAGGAACCCAGAGGAGATAACTGGTCCACCTTAGGGAGGTCAAGAGAGCTTCCTGAGGAAAGGGATGTCTGAGCTGAGACATTAAGGGGGAATAGGAGTGAGCCGGGGTCTCTCTTCCTAGCAGAACCACAGTACACACCTCTATTTGGGGGGGGTCCTCCCTGTTCCCTGTTTTTCTCCATATACCCCTCCAGCGGTAACTCAACACTCTAACGGCCATTGGAGGGCAGCCAGGAATCCCAACCACATCAGAATGGCAGAGGAGTGGGGCTTGGGGCCCAGCTCAGACACACCCCAGCTGGTTCTATTTATGAAGCTGCGACAGTTCTAGGGGCAGAGCCCAACTTGAGGCTGACAACCCACAGGAAGAGACACTTGATAATACAAACAGCAACGGCAGCTGCCAGTGATCAAAGGCTTACAATATGTCAGACCCTGTAGACACAGCGGCGTTCTTCGAATCCTCAAGCTCTCCTACATCATTCCCATTAAACAGATGAGAACATTTAGGCTGAAAAAGGGTCCAGTCACACAACTGGTAAGGAGTAAATATGAGGCCAGCAGGAAGCCAAAACGCTTGCTTTATTAATAAAATGCTGTGAATGTTACAAAATATATTCACGGAAGAACTTAGGGAGAGCTGAGGATGAAAAAATGGTGGTGGAGCCCAAGGGATGGATGCTAAGCCAGGGGTGCAGAGGAGGAATAGGGGTACCTCAGTCACGAAAAAAGGACAGCGACTGAGCCAGGACTCATAACTAAGAGACCAGAGCAGTCCTCAAGGTCTCTAGAAAAGGCAACATCTCAGAGGAGGAAAGGGAAAGCCACAGTGACGGGGTCACTTGCTGACATCCTTCCGGAGTGCTATCACTGCCCAGAAGTCGCTTCTACCATTATTTTTGCCTGAGATAAGCAGAGAGGACTGAAGGACAGAGAAGGGGCAGAGAAAGGGGGACACTGGGGGACAGAGAGAGATTAAGAAAACTTCGTTTTTAGGGCTCCTCACTTGCAAGTGTACCTGTGTGTGCTCTGTGTGGCCGGAGGTTGCAGAGTGGTTTCGGCAGACGGGGCAAGCCAGGAAGCAACGCAAGAGCATTTTTGTGACACCTGGTTCTTCCTGCCTAACTTATTGGGTGTCCTTTTCTCACTCTAAATATTCACTTTAATACCTAAGGTCTGCCGAAATTGTATAAGCGTTAGAGTCCGCACAACTCCGTTTAGCCCCCTCGAGAATACAAATAGCTCTCTCCTCCCCCCGCTCCACACCCTTCCCTGGCTCCCCAGTGCCCTCAGCCACCCAAATCGAGCGCCTATAGGGAACTTCATTGCCCATCAGTCTCATCTATCGATGCCTACATTTCCCATCATGCACGATAACGCCTGCTCCTAGCATTGTTCTCGGCCCCGCCCTCCTGCCCCAATAGTGCTGACTCTCGCCTTCCGCCACCGGCCTCCAGTCCCCGCCTCTTGCCCACTGCCAACTCGTAAAGGTCTCCGCGAGGGGCGTGGCCTCTGAGCGATCGTGACGCCCATTGGCTGTCGCGTCGTCGGTGGGCCGTGCCTACGGGAGCCGGGCGGGCACATTTCGAACCGTGGCTGGGGCGGCGGCGGCGGCGGTGGCTGCGACGGTGAAGGATGCACCCGGCAGGCTTGGCGGTGGCGGGGACGCCCCGGCAGCGTAAGTGGCGTACGTGGCCTGTCAAGGAGATCGGGGCGGGGGGGGGAGGGGTGGCTGGCGGGGGCGTGGCGGGGCCTCCGCGGCAGTTGGCGAGGTCGTTGCAGGTCGGAGGTTACGGGGTCAGAAAGCTGCAGCTTCGGGGCGTGCACAGCGCTGGGATGCCAGGTCCGGGTAGGGGGCGCGTTGGGGTCGAGCCTTCTTCTCTTTAGGAAATTCCTTTGGAAGAAAACAACTTTGGGCAGGATATTGTGTGATGTGCAGGAGAACGGGACTTTCATTCATTTGCAGTTAGCGATCAGCCTTCTCCCCACCCTTCGGTGGCCTCGGGCTGTCGCCCACGCCCCGCAGGACAGCGTTCAGAGCCCTTCGTGAGCTGAGAGGGCCGTGTTTACTTCTCATTTAAGATTTGAACCTGTATATCTTATACTCTTCACCCCCTTTTCCCGTCTCTGTTAATTTGTATCTCTGAGTTCCTCTTCGTCTCCGCGAGTGTGCGTGCATCTCATTTATTCGTTGAGCGTATTCTGCCTCGGCTCCCGTTGGGCCAGGCAGGCCCTGTGCTGGAATTTGGGTACCTGGTAGTAACCAGCCTAGCACTAGTCCTTGGTAACTTACAACTCAGAGTTTAGCGGTGAGACAGACACTAAACTCGGAACAAGCAAGTCAGCGAGAAAATCTGGGGAGTAGTGAGGGCCGTAAAGGGAGAAATCCCAGATGCCGGGGAGGTTCAGAGGCCTGATGTGCTCATTCCTGCCTTCGGCCATTAATAAGGTGCCTGGCTGGCCCTGTGGTGGGTGATGCTGGGGCTACCGCCCTCGTTCCTGTCCTCAGGGAGCTACCAGTACAGAGCAGAAGACAGGAGCAGTCTAGAGCGATGGTGGCCTGATGTGGGAAGCACAGGCGAAGGGGTCAGGACCGGGGCGCAGGGATTGTGGTAGCCCGGATTAGGCGTGTGACGCAGCCTGGGCGTGTCGGTGAAGCTTCTTGGAAGAGGTACATCTAATGATGAGGAATTTGCTCAGAGAAGGGGATTTGTGGTGAGAGGCCTGTGCCAAGCAAACAAATGGACAAGTGAATATTTAGCAAATGTGGTAAGTGCACAGAAGGGAAAAAGAACAACTGGATATTACGAGAAAGAACAAGGTGGGGCTAGTGCTTTCTACTGAGGGGTGAGGAATGTCTCTGAGGAGGAAACTCTTGAGCAGAGGCCTCAGTGCTATGCTGGCAGGTGTTAATGATGGAAAGATGTTCCGGAGCGATAGCAGTGCATGTTCAAAAGCCTGTGTGGACTAGGAGCTTCGCAGAGTCAGGGCCCAAGAGGCCAGTGTGTGACTGGGTGCAGTGAGCCCCAAGAGAGGTAGTGAATGAGGGTGGTTGGCAGGGCTGGGGTCTTGCAGGGCCTTGTGGATTTTATTCCCAGCACTGTGGGTACTGATCATAGGCAGGGGACAGGAAATGTTCTCTTGTGCATTTAAAAAGATCACCCTGGCTGCTGACTGGAGAAAGGGTTGGAGGACATTAAAGTCAGGTTCAAGACCAGAGAGTCTGAAAGGGGAGGGTAAACATGGAGACATAGTGGGTAAGAACTGGCAATTAGTTGGTTGGGTGCCAGAAGGAAGGGGAGTCAGGGACTTGGACACTGGGGTGGGGGCACTGGCGGGAGCTGGCCAGACCTGGGTGTGGGGAGAGAAGTGGCGGCTGGAGACAGGGCCCACTGCCCGGGCCTGAGAAAGCTGTGGGCGGGTGAGATTGCTCTAGGTGAGAGGCAAAGCCAGAAGTGTGGGAAATTGGGCCACATGTTTCAGGGAGCTGAAAAAAAAATCATGGGTGGAGAGGGACCAATCGGAGACTGTCAGCTCCGTAAAGGCAGGAGTTTTTGTCTTTTTTTTTTTTTAAGGTGGGTGGTTTTATTTATTTGTCAGAGAGAGAGAGAGAGAGCCGTGCGAGCACAAGCAGGGGGAGCGGTAGGCAGAGGGAGGGGGAGAAGCAGACTCCCCACTGGTCAGGGAGCCCGATGCGGGACTCGATCCGAGGACCCTGGGATTGTGACCTGAGCTGAAGGCAGACGCTTAACCAACTGAGCCAGCCAGGCGTCCCAAGGCAGGAGTTTTTGTCTTTTTGATTGTTGCTATATCTACCACGCCTGCAGCAGAGCCTAACACACAGGGGTGCTCAAGAGGTTGTTTGTGGGGCTCTGGAAAGAGGAGGAGGTAGGAGCAGTGTCTCGAAGCCAAGAGAGCAGAGAGCTGGAGGCTGGCATTGGGGACAGGGGCATCACATGCTGCTTGAGTCGGATGACAGTGGCTAACGGCCTCAGACTGGCATTGTAGAGGGGCGTTTAGGAGGCCGGTGCGGGGCAGAACCACAAATGTCGAGGGCTGACGGGGGGCAACAGGGAGGAAGGAAGGGCTTGCACCAAAGCTCCCAGAAGTGGGAGAGGGGAAAGGCAAGTGAGCCTTGGGGCTAAGTGGGCCGGGGCCAGTGCCACTGCCTTTGGGATTGAGCACGCCCGGGTCTGTTTTCAGGCGACAAATAACTGAGAGGAACAGTCGAGGAACTAGTCATTGACAATAGGTGACAGGGATCGACAGGCCAGGGGCTGAGGAGTTTATGAATGTCACTTGGCCTTGGGCCATGAACTGTTCCACAGAAGAGAGAATTGAGATGCGGACAGAGTCAGGACGCGGATTATTTGGTTCCTCTCCCCCACCCGATTGTAACCCCGTCTCTCGTTCCCTGGGCCCACGGTGGCGCCTGGGACACAGGAGGAGCTCGGTAACTGTCTGCTGTGGTGTTAGGAGCAGAGGCCCCAGAGCCAGGGTGCTGGGCTCAAATCTGTCCTTTCCACATTCCCCTTCTCTTCCCTCGTCCTTACCCTACCCCCACTAAGCACGCCTCCAGCAGGTCCTGTCCCTCCGAACTCCAGAATCTGTCCAGAAGCAGCCCAGCCCCCTCCCCTGCATCCCTGTTTCTCCCCCATCCCTGGAGCAGCTCCCTCCCTCCTCCCCTCTTCCTGCCCCCCCCCCCCCATCGAGCAGGCACCTGGGCTAGAGCCCTGCGCACAGGTCATTTCCCCTGTCCCGACCTTGGTCACCACCTCTGTAACATGGGGTGGGCCCTCATTTCTCAGAGTTTCATCAGCCCCCTACTCTAGCCCTCTGTCAGGGGCTGGGGATCCAGGCATGAACAAGACCAAGCTCCCCACCTGGGGGGCTCCCATTTTAGTGGGGAGACAGTGAACAAAATAAAGAAAGCAACCAGTCTGTCAGCTGGTGCCGAGTTCTGGACACAAGTGCAGCAGGGCACGGGGGTGGGGAGTGCTGCGGAGGACTGTGTGGTGATAGACGGTGGTAGGGAAGGTGCTGGAGAGCCAAGACCTCGAGGAGGGGAGGGAGCCGCGGGACAGGGGAAGGATTCGGGCAGAGAACAGCCAGTACAAAGGCCCTGAGGTGGGAATGTGCTTGGTGTGTTTGCTGAACGGTGAAGCCCACGTGGCTGGAGCCAACCAGTGAGAGGAGCACTAAGGGCCTGACAGAGACTGTGTTTGTAAAAGGCTCAGGACAGGAGCCTGTGCACAGTAGGCCCAGCACGTTGTAGCTCTTGACATCACTGTGGTGATCGGACGGAGAGATGCCAGGCAGACAGAGCCGGGCCCGGCCCTGCCTCGGCGCCCATCTGACCTCCAAACCAGTGCTTCGCTGCAGCAGGAGGAGAGCCCTGCAGCCTGAACGAAGCTCCCCATCCCCTTCCCCTGCAGCGTCCAAGCGGAGGACCCCGGTGTCCCAGCCAGGCATGGCCGACCCTCACCAGCTCTTCGATGACACGAGTTCGGCCCAGAGCCGGGGCTACGGGGCCCAGCAGGCACCCGGCGGCCTGGGCTACCCTGCGCCTTCCGCCTCGCCCCAGGCTGCCTTCCTGGCGGATCCTGTGTCCAACATGGCCATGGCCTACGGGAGCAGCCTGGCTGCCCAGGGCAAGGAGCTGGTAGATAAGAACGTGAGTGGGTGGGGTGGCTGGGGGGGGGGGCGGGGCGGGGATGTGAGGCCAGGGCTTCAGGCTTGGGCTCTGCCTCCCTCCAGATTGACCGCTTCATCCCCGTCACCAAGCTCAAGTACTACTTTGCCGTGGACACCATGTATGTGGGCAAAAAGCTGGGCCTGCTCTTCTTCCCCTACCTGCACCAGGTCAGCACTGCGCCCACTGAGGGGAGCACTGTCTGAGGAGGGGCAAAGTCTGGGGGGTGCAGGTGGAGGGGTGGGGATAGAGGGTGAGTCAGAAGCCGGGCAGGTGTGAGGGGCAGGGGCGGGGGGGGGAGGGTAGGTTTGCCCCAAGAGAGGGCCTGGAAGCAGTGCGGGAGAAGCCCACTCTGGGGGTCCCGCCTGCTCCCCTCACTCTCCCCACAGGACTGGGAAGTGCAGTACCAGCAGGACACACCAGTGGCCCCCCGCTTTGACATCAACGCTCCTGACCTCTACATTCCAGGTCTCTCTCTCCCCGTCACCGCCCCGCCCCGCACCCTCCTCCCTCTGGGTGGGCACGTCTAGGGCAGAGGTTTAGGTGCCTAGTGGCCCAGGATGGTCCATCTTCCTCTGACCAGTGTCTGTGTGTCTGCCTCCCACAGCTATGGCTTTCATCACTTATGTCTTGGTGGCTGGCCTGGCGCTGGGGACCCAGGATAGGTAAGGGAGGCCTGGAGTAGGCAGAGTGGGGTGAGGTTTGGGCGGTGGAGGGGCAGTCAGGAAGGTCTCTTGGATCTTCTGCCTCGGAGCAGCCCCACCGTGCTCCCAGTTGGCCCAGGACAGAGCCCCTGGGGTCACGGTCAGCATCACCCTCACCTCTTCCCTTGCTCTCCACCCACGTGCAGCCCATCACCACACCTGTGGCGGGTGACTCTAACTCCATCCTTCATCTTAGCCTCCACCACCAGATCCGGCCCATCCTCACTGCCTCCTGACCAGCTGCCTTGCCCACATACCCTCTGCACCCTGACTCCCAACAGCAGCCAGGGAGATCTGATCTGAGATGTGGGTCTGGCCATGTCCACCCTGCTAGAAGCTGCCCAGAGCTCTCCCGTCCCCAGATCTAGCCCTGGCTCCTTAGTCTCGCGTACCACACTGCCTCCGTGCAGCCTCTCTCTGCCCCTCCTCCTCACTCTGCTTCGCCACACTAGGCCTCTTTCCATCCTCCAGAGGGCTTGGTGCCACCTGCTGCCACCCCAGGGCCTTTGCACATCCAGTGCCCTTTGCTCAGGAGTATGTTCCTCCCCTGTATCACCTGCTGAGCACCTGCTCACCTGTGATGTCTCCACCCTGGTGTCACTTACTCAGGGAAGCCTTCCCACCCCCCAACTGGGTCAAGCCCCCCACGTCTTGCTCCTAGGCTCCAGTCTCTTTCTTTTGTGGCATCGAAAACGATTGTCATGAGAATCCGTTCATCACTGGGGCACTGGGGATATGGCAGAGGCCGTGGTCCTTCTTTGCAAGTCAGCTCCTTATTCCTTCAGGCCTCAGCTCAGATGTCCTCTCTGGAGAGCCCTGTCTGACACCTTCTCCCGACTGGGTCAGGCACCTCCCCTGCCCTGCACTCCCCTCATCCCGGCCCTGACCCCTCGGGGCCGTCACTGAGGACAGGTCTGCCTTCCCTCGCATGAGATTTCCATGAGGACAGGGTCCAGATCCATCTTGGTCACTGTGGAGTCTCTAGCCGCACCCAACACAGGTGTCCCCAGGTGGATGCTCTGGGAGGGTGTGAGCCGGCCATCGGAGTGACAGCTTGGTGCCGGCAGGTTCTCCCCAGACCTCCTCGGGCTGCAGGCAAGCTCTGCGTTGGCCTGGCTGACCTTGGAGGTGCTGGCCATCCTGCTCAGTCTCTACCTGGTCACTGTCAACACTGACCTCACCACTATCGATCTGGTGGCCTTCTTGGGCTACAAATATGTTGGGTGAGTACCCCATTCCTTTCCCCCCTCCTCCAGCCCCAGCCCCGAGGCCTCTCCCTCAGACCAGCCTTCACCTCTCTTCCCAGGATGATTGGCGGGGTCCTTATGGGCCTGCTCTTTGGGAAGATTGGCTACTACCTGGTGCTGGGCTGGTGCTGCGTGTCTATCTTTGTGTTCATGGTGAGCCGGGGCTCAGGGGAGGATGAGGCTTGAGGGCACAAGCCCTCAGAATTGGGGTCCCCTGGAGGCATCCAAACAGAGGATGTCAGGGGAGGAGTTGAGACGAGAGCCATGTTGCTGAACTGAGGAGCCTTAAAGTGGCTGTCCCAGCCTGGGGGTCAGGAGGGCTTCCTGGAAGAGGGGGTGTCTAAGCTGGGGCCGGAAGGAAGAGAAGGAGCCAGCTGGGCTGTTGGGGTAGGCTCTCACCCTCACTCCACTCTTCCATGGTGGGCTTTCCTGCCAGAATTTCTGTTAGGATGAAAAAAGTTTCGGTACCCCTGGAAGTAGCTTCTCTGGGTCCCCAGCAAATCCCTTCCTCTCTTTAAACCTGCTTCCCCTTTTGTAAAAAAGGGGGATGATGATAAACGCACCTCAGGGCCCTGGGCGGAGGCAGTGTGAGCATATGTGAGGAGCAGAGGGCAAAAACCGGTTGGCCAAATCGGACCCTCAGATATACTTTGACATAGATGTTATTTAAAAGTTAAAAAAAAAAAGCCTTTCTGGCTTGTGTTGAAAACTGTCATCCGGCCCACATAAGCGGGGTGACAGCGGCCTGGCTGAGCCTGCCACCCTCCTCAGGCACCCTCCCCAGGCACCCTCCGCAGGCAGGGTATGAAGCTCCACATCTCATCTCACTCAGGGGCCTCGCCTGCTGCATGAGCTTGCAAACCCTCACGTTTGCTCCCAAGCCTTGGGGAGGAGCAAGTCCTCACCATCTGTTAGAGGAGATGTGGGGGGAACCTAGGCTCCCCTTGAGCGGAGAGACTTGAGCCTAGCTGCCCCGGAGAAGGGAGAGAGGCAGGGCTTGGAAGTACATCCAGGCACCCGCGCCCAGCCCGGGACTCAAGGGTGAACCCCCTCCCGCCCCAGATCCGGACGCTGCGGCTGAAGATCCTGGCGGAGGCAGCGGCCGAGGGCGTCCCGGTGCGCGGGGCCCGGAACCAGCTGCGCATGTACCTGACCATGGCCGTGGCGGCGGCGCAGCCCCTGCTCATGTACTGGCTCACCTTCCACCTGGTGCGGTGAGGGCGGCCCGGCCCACGCCCCCAGCTGCTGCTCCGCGCGGCTGCCGCCGCCCCTCCGCCCGCCCGCGGGGACACCGCCGCCGCCCCGATCCCGAGACCCCACCCCTACCCCCTCCGGGCCGAGGTGCCGACATCTCCAGCTGCACCGGCCGCCCCGCAGAGCGGTCGCTGTTCCGGAAACAATAAACCGAGATGGGCACGGCGTGGGCAGCCTGTCCTTGGTGCGGCCGCCCGGCAGGGGGCAGGCCCGGCCCGAGAAGGGGGACGGGCGGGGCGCGGCGGGGCCGGTGCCCCACTTCGCGACCAGAAGGCGACCAGAGAGTCGAAAGAAGGTTTAATGAGACTCGGCCGGGCCCGTCAGTGAGGAGCCTCCTTCTTCGCCTTCCCTTTCTTCTTCCCTTTCTTCTCCTTCTTTTTCGCCTTGGGCTTCTTGACCTTGGCCGGCGTGCTCTTGTGCCCTTCGGAGGCGGCAGCGGGAGGCTGTGGGGCAGAGGCCGGAGGGGAGGGGAGAGCGAGGGGTCGGCCGCTGAGACGATTGTCTGGGACTGTCCCGTCACCTGGGGCGCCTGCTTGCGGGGAGCCTCTTACCTTTGCTTCCATGTCCGAGTCGCTGGAGCTGTCGCTGCTGGAGTCCGAGGAGCTGCGGTGACCGCCGCCCTGCTCGTTGGAGGCAGGCAGTGAGGCCCGGACCCCTGACCCAGCCCCTGCCCGCAAGTTGGAAGCCCCAGGCTCGGCGGGGCCCTGGGTTCAAAGGCCTACCCCCCACCCACCCACCCCGATACGGGGAGGGATGTGCGGGGTCCTGAGGTGACTTACCCTCGGTTTATCAGCCGCCCCCGCCTCTGACGCGCCCTGAACTTTGGGGGGGCTGTGTTTGTGGTCTCCCACCTGGCCTGTCCCTTGGGGCTCCTTGGAGTCGAGGGCTGTGGAGAGAAGTTGGGTGGGTTGGTGCAGGTGCAGCGCGTGCGCCCTTGGGAGGAGGCTTCTGGGTTTTAGCCTGGCCCCTGCGCCTCAAGAGCCCCACTTCCCAGGAGCGCACCCGCGGCCAGGTCCAACTCCATGGTGGTGAGAGATGGTCTGTTGGGAGGACCGCAAGGGCCCAGAGGGCAGGGGGAGGGGCAGTGAGAACCGCCTGCCCAAGGACTTCGGAGGAGCCCCACCCAACCTGGCTCAGAGTCCTTAGCCTTGACTCATAGCCCCTCCCCAGCACCACCCAACTTTTCTTCTTGGGAAATGAGGTGGGTGGACAGTTGATTGCTAAATTTCCACCGGTGAGCCTTGGCAAGTGAGGGGGCACTGTGTGGGCAGCTGTAGATTTCTGGGGGGGAGGGCTGGAGCTGTCACCTGCTTCCCACAGAAGGGTCAGATGCCTGCTTTTGAAGAAATGAGAGGGTGTCTCCCTGTGCCCTATGCACCATCATAATGCCAACACTCCGTGTACTTACCGCGGGCCAGGCGCTGTTCCAAAGGTCTTCACGCACATTAGCTCGCTTTAAACCCTGGACGGCTGCGTGAGAAGCAGTGTCTGAAGGGGTGAAGAGCTTGGGATCAGCCTCCTGAATTTGAAGACCCACTCAGTAGTGGGGTGAGCTCAGGAAAGTCACTCTGCCTCTCTATGCCTGTTTCTTCATCTGTATGTGGCAGCCTCCATTTGGGGCTGTTGTCATGGATTAGTTTCTAGAACTGTGCCTGGCACAGACTAAGTGCTTGTAAGATTATGTTTGGCTTTTTAATTAGAAGATATGTATTGTTACCATCCCTATTTTACAGATGAGAACACTGAGGGACCAAACAAGTAAGATGCTGAGGGGCCAACGTAGTATGAATGGCTAGAGCTGGGATTCACACCCAGACAGTGTGGCTCAAGTCCAAGGCCCTGGCCCCTCTGGCTCTCCCTGGAGGGTGCTCAGGGGAAGGGGCTCCCCATGCCTGGCTGGGCCAGTCAGGCTGCTGGGGGCGGGGGGGGG